TTACTAAAATGATCATAAAATAGTGAAAGAATGAAATATTTATAAAATGGTGTATATTTAGATTCAGAGAGAGTTGGTCTATCAAAATTTACAAAAAGTCATTTTGTGAAATATTGACCTCAAGGGCCTTTTTCTCATGACGGCAATCAAATAATAAATAAATCTGAATATTATTCTTCACTGTTCTCCACGCCTTCCTCCGTTCTCTCTTTCGACTCTGATTAAGTCCTTTTTCGTAAACATTGTACGACAACGGTAACGAATTCCACAAACTACAATTTATTCTGTGTATTATAAAAGTATGACATTGTAATTTGAAATTAGTAAATAAAATGGTTGTAGGAGTACATACAGTGCTTAATTATAGATAAAAGATACTTTTAATTAATCCGATTTATCGTAACTAATCTACATAAGCTAACTTCATGAATCGCGCAGGTTTAGTTTATAGTTTTTTTCAATATTTGAACTTTATTTGCAAGTGCAATGTAATTGATGTGCATAAGTATGTGCAGTAAATTAAAACAGGTTGTAGCGATATTTTACTGTGATTTAATGGAAGAAAGTTTAAAAAAAAAATCATACCCCAAAGGCAAAAAAAAAGTATTCTGCGCACACTGATCAATTTGCCGTTACATATAACCAGCATAAGACCTCCTCTGCTCATTCAACACCACATACATGTAGAACTTTTTTTTTCTTGAAGCAAAGTATTCATTAATATTTTGAAATTTCTTTACGTATCTCTCCCCTTCAGAAATCTCAGGCTGTCGAAATGATATGAAACTTTAAATAAATGTCAAATCATATAACATGCATTTGTCACTAATGAGGCACGTTTAGGAATTTCAATCTAGTCCCATGCATATATATGGATATGTTTACCGTCCTTAGCCAGGCAAATAACAGATCACAAATAAATTGGTAAAAACACTGTACCTCCCCCATCCCACCTCCGCACTAACCCCTCCCTTTTAAAAAAAATGCATGATAACGTTCAGATCTGGAAAGGTGTATACTTATATGTAGTATTAAATTAACTCTGCAAATTATACAATAAAACTCACATTAATTTAATTGTGTATTATTTTGCCACGAAATCAAGAACAAGTCTACGAAAATCGAACTGACTGCAGAATTCAAACGCAATATAAACAATATAATTTCGAATTGATACCTCATTTTATATTTCATGAATAAAACAATTTTCAGCATAAAATACTACTATACGATTGATAAATTTATGAATGACAATGAAAACTTTCAGTGCGGAAATTATGCTATAGTAATAAAAATGTACTATTGGATGAAACCTTTACATTCAAGGAAAAAAAATCAAAATCAGAACTGGACGTTTAATGTTCTTCTTTCTTTATATAGTACTGGTGAAGCAAGATTTAATGAAAACATAATCCGATATATCGCGACTGCTAATTCTTCAATCATTATACTGTAATAATTTCAATAAATTCCGAGAGAATCCGAACAGAAAAATTAAGAATGAAGCCAAAGCGTGTGAGAATCCTGTACAAAGTGCAGCCCTTCATGTAAACCGAGTAGCATTCCGTGTGAACTGCTTTTTGCAATCCGTGTACGCTTCGTTCAAACCATGTAGCGTTTTGCTAAACTATGAGGCGTATATGATTCGTGCAGTGTGCGACTGGGCTAGTATAACGATAAATGTTCATAAGTTTTCAGATGGAGCACTTTCTTATGTTTTGTTATGATATGAAGACTCAAAGGCCTAATGTTGATGAATAAATATAAAGAAACATATGTTTTGGAATAGAGTCTTTCTGAACCTTAGGGTGTCAAATATTCGGAAACACGATGCATTTTTATGGAAAAAGCCAAGGGATTTATCAGAAGACTTCAAGACGATCATGACTGTAAGCTGTCACACCATATGTCCAATCAGTCAAAATGTAATAAATAAGTACAGAAAAGAGAAACTACTCAGTAAAGACGGGGTGTTACTTACCAAAAATTAACAATAGGAAACGCATCAACATAATTTTTCTAACGGAAATATTTGCATGCAGATAGATGGACAGGTAGGCAAATGTTAAACAGTAATTAAATAATAAGACGCATGCTACACATGGACACCTGTATTATCCGTTTTCAAATTAGTTCATTCCTGTGTTGGAAACAACCCCATAGAACGGGGGGTGGGGGGTGGCAGGGGGCCCGTCCCCCCTCACTTTTTCTGAGTATTTTTTTTCTAGAATAATCTCCATTTAGATGCCGGTTGCCCCCCATCACCCCTTTTTTGTTGCTGTAAGATCGAGCAAATTCCAAGACTTTTTTTTTAATTCTGTACCAAAATGTAAGGGGAATGTCCATAATCACCCCTCCCCTTTCCCCTTTTCGAGATTGGACGGTTTATTTTTTTTTCTTTGCCAAAATTTTTGGGAAGTGTCCCCTTTTAAAACCATTGCTAGGGATTGCGTGAAAAAGGATAGGGCATGAAAAGTAGACTACTAATTAAAACCATGTACAAACTTTCTTTTATGAAGGAACAAGCGAAAATAACGAGATTTCCGAATGACAACTGAGGGCCGGTGACAACTTTGGACAGATAACGTTAGCACGCTTCAGATTCTGTAATCGAAACGAAATCGGACACAAATTTTATGCTGTAGAAACAAGGTAAAACAGTAACTTAGTAATGGAATTCACGGTCGGAATTCACAGTGAAACAGATTGCACAGGTGTCAGATTACAAAGTATACTAAACGGCGCTTCCTAGCCATGCTTCTTCAAGATGGGCAGAAGAAGTGATGAAGATTTTCTGAGATTAATTAAATTTTCACTGTATAACAGTCTTTGCCGTGAATTTAATATTCTCGGTATCTAGAGTGCTTTATGCATATTCCACTTTAAAAGCACTAAAACATTGCCTAGATTCTTACAGAAATGAATGATTTGGAAATACCTATCAATTAATTCTTTTTCTGGCATCAAATTTGATCTCAATTGAATTAAAAAAAATTTCCTAAATGACATCTCAAGAATAAAATGGACATATTAATGGTCCAAAAGGTATCGATATCAATTTTATAGGATAGTTTCGTTTGCCTATTTGTTTGTTTATATAACGCGTCCCTTTCGAAAAAAAAAATCACTCATATTGAGACGCCACCATTTGCTGGAGCAGGGGTGCAAATTTGGACCTATTCGAAGCACTCAAGGCCATTGAGCAGTCAAGGCCATTGAGCAGTGAGAGATCTTTTTGGTGCCAGCATATACTGCAACACTGGACTTCGGTTTATGCGGTCTCATCCTAAAGACCGGTCTCCATATCCTGCAGTTGGATTTGAACCATCGACGTAAGGCCACGCGGGTGACTTTAGAATAGGTTACCTAGTATATTTAATTCACTGCGCCTGCAATCACATCAAAGTTCCGACTCACATAATACTTATTTACTCCGATTTCTGGCGTTGCGCGGTGGTGGATAGAGAGTTTTAGAGTGTTTGCTTTAGAGTCGAGGGGTAAGAAGCTGATCCTTACCTCGAAGGTTCGAATTCGGCAGAGGGACGTTGAGACTGGTCCTTTGGATGAGACCGTATTAACCGAGGTCCTTTGTAGGAGTAGGTGCTGGGACGGAAAAGATCCCTAACTGCTCAATGGCCTTGCGTAAATATATACATTTTATGGTTAAAGAAAACATGGAGCAAGGATCCGATAAACCCGAAAAACACTTTTATGAAAAAAACGTTGGTATCTCTCCGAAAAATACTTCAAGTCCATTTAGTCAATGTTCATATCACAAACATGATTTAAATGTCATTATTCATCCAGAGTTGTAAAGCGTGTTAACTTTAGTCTAAAAAGATATTAATACTCAGGATTTTTATTGCCAGGGTTTGAACCCCAAGGATACAATTTTATCTTTTTTAACGCTGGTTATAGAATAGGTTTTTTTTAAAAAATCAAAAACGTTTTGTTTTGTTTGTCATAATTTCATAAATTTCAATTATGAGAACTTTACTCTTAATATTTAATTCACAAATTTGATATGATTTTTAAGTATCTAATGCCATAGCATTCTGCACGCCTTGTTCGCCCATCTCCTTTATATAGAAAACCTTTTCCTTTAATGTCCTTTAATTCATCTTTAGTGTTTAAAGTATTTAAATTAAAGGCTAATGTGTTTGACTTATTCGTAAAAATTAAGATTACTCTTATTGATATATTTTAATACAAAATTATATAATGTATCAATTCAAAGCAAAATTTGCGCTCTTATGTGTGTTAATTGCAACCAAAATCTTTAAATTTTTCTCCGAAAAAAAAAAAATTAAAAAAAAATCAGATAAAAAAGGGAAGACAATCGAATAGAGAATTGGCAAATTGTAAATCGCAAAATGAGTATATTTCGATGATAATGTGAAAACATTCAGTAACAAAAGTACTAAGATGTACTAAAAGTAATAAAATAAATGCTAAGCCGATCATACATCTGTAACCCAGGTGTTCCATTGGCGTGAACGTTTGTCGGACGGACCGCTGTTCATACATGAGTAAGGATAAATAATATATCTAAATTCTCTCTCTTAAAATAAAATACCGGGTATAAAGCAAGAATGATATCTCAATGTAATGTTTGTTTCAGAAAAGTCACGTGACTTGTTTTTCACTATACAAACGGGGACCCGTGTGTAACCCCCAAATACAATCTTCGGTAATTGTGAAAAGTTCACACTCACACACATGTTTTAATCCTATCTAACCGGGGACATTTTTTCAACATGTTGAAAAACGGATCTTTAAGGCTTTTTGGGGTAATTAGACATCCCTGACTTCGAATTTGGCGCTATTTTTAATCAAAGACAACCGGGGACGTCCCCGGTTGGGAGGTTGTCCCCGGTTGGAAGGTGTGTAAACAAACGATTGTCCCCGTTTGACACCTTTCACGCACGCACACACACACACACACACACACACACACACACACACACACATTACATCAATACATATCAATACATTTATTCCTACACCGATGTTATTGTAAAACTATCAAGCTCGTTTTGAGCGTCTGTAGTTTGCCATTCAAGTTCAGTTTTTCTTGAATTACATCTGGCGCACGTAAACTTATTATATAATCGACGTACGAAGTTGAATGGTTCTTTGCGAAAGATGATATAAATCCACGGATCTATGATTGAATTAGTTGTGGCCATTTCTATGCCGAGCAGTTCAAAGCTTAGACTACCTTCGAAACTTCCAGAGAGACGGCCAAGCATATTTATCTGCAAAAAAATAAGGAAAACGTGCGAAAGTTTTTTTTTCAACCTGCTAACAATTGTCATTTGTGAAAATACAAATTTTACAAAATTCTTACCAGTATTGGCAAACTGCATATGCTGTACAGCATAACAACAGAGAACAGGAAAAGAATAATACGAGTGCCATGTTTGTTTTCGACGGATTTGGAAGACTTTGTCCACTTGCTTTTGAGTATTACCACGATAAGAATTACGTTAGTTACAAAGGTAGTAAGCAGTACAAGAAGTCCCATCAAAACATACAGGTAAGCAAATCCTCGATCTGTTGTATCCTGGGACTCAAAATTCACGAAACACCAGGAATCCGGATAAAATCGTTTACTGTGTCTTCCCGCCATGAGATGACCAGATGATAGGAAAGCAGACACACCCCAAATACAGATTAACACTACGGTGCTTCTAGTTTCTTTTGTCAAAGACTGGAACTTGTATGGAAATATTAGAGCCAAGAATCGTTCTATTGACATCGTACATACGATCATTGCAGAAGCAAGTATTGTAAACATTTGAATGACAGCCATGTAATCACACACCGTCTGAGAATAAGTAAACTTAAAATTTGTTGCGTATCTAACGACAGCAAAAGGCACCGCCAACATCACACCGAAGCCATCTGTTATAGCAAGTCCACACACAAAGCGATAAAATGGCCGCCACTGGTGGTGTTTTACAGAGCAACACACGATGACTATGGCAAATCCATTTCCAGCAACTCCTAGAAGACAAAGCAATACGGGAGGCACAATGGAAGGTGACTCAAAAAGACCTGATGATGAATTGGAATGTTGATTGTTCACACCTACAGTAGACGACATTTCGTTTACTTCGGTATTTCATAAAGGATTCTGAAGTTAATATTACCATATAAGGACGATGGATATGAAGGAAGTAGTTGAGGTGAACATTTCGATGTTTATCTACTTTTTTTAAATAAAATTAGTTTCCTGGTTAAATGCTATATCTGTACATCAATGAAGTTTTACAAATTGATTTAAATTTTCTGGTTTTCCTCATATTTTTTCAGTTTTTACAATATATGCATTAATGCCTCGGCCTGAACTATTATTAGATTTCATTTAATTCAAACATAATTAAGAATTTCCTCTTTCCCGTGTTTCATGATCAGGCTCCGGGGCCATAAAACTTAGACGAGCTAACTTTTGATCTCAGTCTCACCTTTACAAACGGAATATATAGTGAAAAGTCAGATTGAGATCAAAAGTGAGATGATCTTAGTTTTATGGCCCCGGAGCCTGACCTTACTCCTGAGAAACTCATCTTTGTCTTTATTAATACATTTAATTTATTATCCTGTACAAAGAAGGGGAAAAGAATTATTTCCTCTCTTATCCTTAAGCTTTAAATTACTGGATATCTAGGCTGAGTCAACAACACAGAAATGCGAACATTTGACATATAATTTCCCATTATTGAAATGCAAATAAGTGCACACATTAGAAAGTAACTCAAAGAATTATGGACAAAAAGATGAAGTTCGTACAAGATGTTTTCAAATCTTTTTTACCAGTGGTATTGAATTTTACACTGGACAAGGGACCTAGATTTTCCTGGCTGCTCTGAATGACTTAGGCCTCTCTTACACTGGATAAGGGACCTATTTTAACCTGGTTGCTCTGAATGTTTTGTCTTACACTGGACAAGGGACCTACTTTATCCGGGCTGCTCTGAATGACTTGTCTTACACTGGATAAAGACCTACTTTATCCTGGCTGCTCTGAATGACTTGTCTTACACTGGATAAGGGACCTACCTTATCCGGGCTGCTCTGAATGACTTATCTTACACTGGATAAAGACCTACTTTATCCGGGCTGCTCTGAATGACTTATCTTACACTGGATAAGGGACCTTCTTTGTCCTGGCTGCTCTGAATGAATAATCTTACAGTGGATAAGGACCTACTTTTTCCTGGCTGCTCTGAATTACTTGTCTTACACTGGATAAGGGATCTACTTTGTCCTGACTGCTTTAAATGACTTGTCTTACACTGGATAAGGGACCTTCTTTATCCTGGCTGCTCTGGATGGTTTATCTTACACCGGATAAGGTACCTTCTTTGTCCGGGCTGCTCTGAATGACTTGTCTTACACTGGATAAGGACCTACTTTGTCCGGACTGCTCTGAAAAACTTGTCTTACACTGGATAAGGGACCGACTATGTCAGGGCTGCTTTGAATACTGTTCGTTATCTCCATATATTTCATCTTACACTGGATAAGGGACCTACTTAATCCGGGTTGCTCTGAATGACTTGTCTTACACTGGATAATGTACCTCTTTAATCCTGGCTGCTCTGAATGACTTTTCTTACATTGGATAAGGGACCTTCTTTATCCTGGCTGCTCTGGCTTGTCATACACTGGAAAAGGTTATTGGCAGACCCTTTTTGTATTCATATGAAGCAGAATTTGTCCAAAATCTTATGTGAAAAGAAGAAAACACTTGCTGTGGCCTTCTACTCGACATTTAAATATATCGACGACGTATTGTCAATTAACAATGGTTATTTCCATTCTTATGTCGATACGATATATCCCGGGGAGCTTGAGATAAAAGACACCACAGTGTCTGACACATCTGTTTCATATTTTGATATTTTACTTGAAAAGACGTTAATGGTAATCTAACAACAAAGCTTTATGATAAAAGTGATGACTTTAACTTTTCAATCGTCAACTTCCCTTACTTATGCAGCAATATACCTTCATCACCTACATACGGGGTTTATATCTCTCAGTTGATTCGATACGCAAGAGCATGCTCTACGTATGTACAATTTCTAAAACGAGGTAAATTATTGACAAACAATTTGGTGAAACAAGAATATCAGCAGTCTCGTTTAAAGTTGTCATTTTGTAAGTTCTATGGTCGATACAATGACCTTGTCATCAAATACAATTTATCATTGAGTCAAAAGCTGACTGACGTTTTTCATACTAATTGTTAGGCCATTATTTACACACTGCATTGTCGACGGATTTTCCCGTTATTTCCCGATCATGACAAGGAGCACCCGCGGGTGTGACCGGTCGGCAGGGGATGCTCACTCCTCCATGGCACCTGATCCCACCTCTGATGTTTTGGGGGTCCTTGTTTGTTAAATGGACTTTTGACCTTGAATAATGTTCATTATCTCCATATATTTCATTACACTGGATAAGGGACCTACTTTGTCCGGGCTGTTCTGAATGAATTATCTTACACTGGATAACGGACCTACTTTGTTAGGACTGCTCTGAATGACTTGACTTTATCTACGATTACTGTGAATTCTCAATTCTTAAGCCATTCTATTCACTAATGTACTGGTATTATCATATAAAAAGATAACTCATTGTTGAAGGAATTTGAATGTTCAGACATTACAAATAGTTATTGCAATTTCAGCAGAGTTGATCAGTATTATTCCACAGTTTTAAATTTTACCATGGATCTAAATAAGCACTAGAAGTTTGCAACTCCTTGTTTAATACAAATGTTGTTGACACTAAAAGTACTGTACATTTTGCAAAAAAAAAAATTCACGTAACCAGCTACTTTATGGCTTATTCGTTAAGTTCTGTGCATATATTCTACCAGCAAAAGAGATAAATAAGTACAGCAAAACCTGTCTAATCCGACATGCACTGGGAAACAAATTTCGAGTCGGAATAGACAGTGTGTCGGATAACAGTGTAAAAAGACATGGAAAATAGTAAAATGGGAATAAAAGTGAATGTCAGAATTCACAGTGAAAAAGGTTGCACAGGTGTCGGATTACACAGTTTTTACTGTACATGTGCTATTGATTGGACATTACGAAAATTTTTAATTAAGTCTCAATTTTCCCCAAATTTTGCTGGCAAAATATTTTACTGCAGCATCATGAAATGGTCCATTCACAATCTATAAAATAATTTCTAGACATATATACACAGTTTTAGTCTTATAAAATTGTATGTCATTGGTTTCTCATGACTCACGAGTAGGTTCTGTTAAAGAAACAAAAATCATGGAGATATTTTCTTTTTCATAAATTACATGCCTTTCAAATATCATTTAACTTTATTATATTAACCAAAATATAAACACTAAACAGGATCATCCATTACAAGTATTACCATATTACCATACATTCTTCAGATATGTCTGTACCCTCAATAAAATGATATCGTTGTCTTTGACTCCTTTAATACAAAGTGCTTTGAATATATATAAATATATTCTGATATGTTCCTTTATTGGTTCATTGAAAGTTCCATTATATTGATATTTCATGTTTATGTTCCTGTTTTAACTTCCATTTCTACTTTATTTGAGATTTTGTAAAACGACCAGCTAATTAACTGTATGGTACCCAATACGATTGGGTACAAACACACCAAAGAAAACATGGCCCCTTTGAGGTCCTCTAGCTGTGCCGAAGTAAGGGGGTTAATTGAGGGGCTGGACATGTCCCCTGTTGATTTTTTGATCTGGCTGTAACCATATTTGTTTAAAATGGCAACAACAAACATTGGAGACAATGAAATGGCAGGTTTCACAAATAAAGCATTCGTTCCGAACACCATCGATGATATTGGATGCCTGTATTGAATATGAAGAGTATTTTAATACGTTATACTTTCATGCAAATTAATGAATCCGATTCATCGAGAAATATTTGTTAAATAACAATATACGCCGTCCAGCGTGATACAACGTAGCAACATTACTTGATGACGGATGATATTTCAAAAAATGTTTACTGCGCAGAATTTTTGTGCATGCGTTTGGTTCACTAATATACATGTACAAGAATGTGTACAAAATATTCAGTTTAAGATAATAAATATTGCAATTAGTTGCGGTGCAACCTCGGTTGACAATGGGTTTTTGGGGGAAAAGTGAAAAATTTTCAACGTTGCCCTAAACAACACGCAATTTACAAGTTTTCATTTTAATTTCAAATACAGTGTACTTGTATAGTTTTACTGATTAAAAAAAGTTTCAAAGAATAAAGTTCTTGCTTTATGGTCCAAAGTTAATAATCACTCCTGATCTACGTGACATTTACAACTAATACATCCGGAAAAAAAGAAAGTAGAGGTCATGAGAATATCTAAGATTGGAATCATGTGAAGGACACTTACTTTCTGTTGTATTTCATCATATTGGCATCAGCAATGTCCGACAAGGGAAGATTGAATAATGAAAATGTACCATTGGCAAAACATCTGGAAAAAAAATGTCAGCCTAAAAATAAACTCATCATTTTACTGAAGTATTCAAATGATTGATTGTATGTTTTACGTCCCATTCGAGATTTTTTCACTTATAGAGAGACGTCATCATATACATGTACAGGTGAAGGGTTTAAAATTTAGACCTTTACTCGGCAATCAGAGTCATTGACAGAGAGGGTTCTTTATGGTGTCAACGTCTATCATGACATGGTACCTCGGTTTTTAAGATCTCATCCAAAAGACTCGTGACTTTCACTTCTAATGCCAGGCTCCTGGCGAAGGAACAGTCAGTACCTACGAGAGTTGTTAGAAAAGTTCGCGGACACATTGATTTACGGAAAATTTCTTTAGAGAATGACGTTTGTCTAATTAAATTCTTATCTTTTGTTTATTAGTATGTAAAAATCAGGTCCATTTATTAAAATTTTAAAAATATATAATGATTTTCATTGTGCGGTCATAGGATTCACGGAGCAATCACTTGAAGTTTTTTGACGTTAGGTGACGCGACAAACTGATTCTAAACTTGTTTAGCTTTATCACATTTCTAAATATCTTTCATTACTAAGGCTTTTTCATGTCTTTTTCCTATTTAAAAATTGAATAACCATAGAAAGACATGTTACATTTTCTTAAATACGTCTTTGTGGCTTATCGAATATTAGTGAGATCTGAAAAATCAATGTCAACCCAGTTAAGCGATCAGGTATGGAAACAATACAAAATCCATAGGCGCAACGTCCATGCGATAAGCGGGGTGTTTGGGTATCGCAGGAGTTGATCATCAGATATGTCAATTCTTCCATTCTAACAAAGCTACTACCATTTGAACACTGGTCGTTGATACGTGTAGTAACTCCCAGCAGCATCCCAAAACGTTTAGTCTGTTTCGGGCATTTTCCTGTCTGCAGATTTAATATTTTTATAGTTCGGTGCTCCAAGACGTTCAATGACGTTGCCATTCTTGACTTTGTTTTACGCATTGATTATCTATAATTAGCAAAAAGACAGTCATATCTTCTCCAATTAAATTCAAAATTTCACCAAAAGAAGTTTCATTAATATTGTAGCGACAGGTGAAATATCATAGATCTTTATGTGCTACAACAGAGCATTTTTTTTAATTTCGAAAAAATGTCTACGTACTGTAAATTTTCGAAAAAGTGACATGCTCCGTGAAGCATGTTTTATCTAAATAAGATAGTTGTATATTTTTAAAGATCATCGGAAAACACCAAATCTTTGCATATTTATTGGAAAATACATATGTTTTTTTCTTTGCAGAGTTCTACTGGTTTCATGCAGATAGCGCGCTCGCAATAGAACTTGTTCGCGAACTTTTCTAACAACCCTCTTATGTTTACGTCTTAGGTTTGACGCTGCGCGACGAAAGAGAATCGAACACGGGCTTCCCAATCAAACTTATCGAGTTATTAAGATGACCAGTACATTTTCAAAGAATTAAAAAAAAAACGAATGTTATAATTCCAATGTACGGTACACATAAGATGCATTTTACATCCGTATTTTTTCAGATTGAAACCAGTTGAGGTTGAAACTCTTTCTTAAGTTTTATAAGGAGTAAAGAAACACTTGGTTTTTCTGTAACGAAGAATTTTGGAAAGCTTTTTTGTGGTTTTAACAGTTTTTTAAAGAAAGAAAATGTACAAGTTGTAAAGCTGTGGGGAAAAAGACGGCTTTTTTCCCTAAAAAAATAATTTTTATTCGTTGACAAAATATCTGCTCTATTTTATCATACACTATGCATATTAGAGAGATACAAAAGAGAAGTTTTTTTCAAAATTTTTCTTGTTTTATAATAATGTATGCATCAGTAAATTACAGCTTTTTATATCATAAGGGATTGGCCATCAATCAAAAACAAAAATATCAACATTAGACGGTTTTGTTTGGAATGGATGATCAATAATTAGATATTTAAAAGGAAAAAAATGTCCTTTGTTGTTACATTTGCAATAGAAAATAAATAAAAAGTATGAACGAATAGTCCATTTCAAGAAAACTTATGACTTGCTATTTATGTATTATCACTGTAGATCATACAACGATTGAAATAATACTTAAGTTTTAAAAAAGACAAAGATAACACTCACTCGTCTAACAGGAGAAATCCTATCAGAATCCAGGGGTGGCCGTTCCCTATAACATAGTACATAACAAGACCTCCAGAAATCTTCCAAATAAAATTAGCGCGGATCACCTTCTTGTATGAGAAATGACGTAATATAGGAGCTATTAATATCACAAGAATCTGTCAATAAAGAAAAAAACAATGAAGAGCTACTGTAGAATAAGAGGAGCTTTTTACAAGGAAATTGTACATTTAGCAAACTCAGGAAAACAACAATAACTAAAACCGTAGTGTCGGAGCAAATAATGTCACAAGAATCTGTAAATATGCATCAAACTATATACATGTATAATGGGAAAGAGATGTTACCATCTTATTACTAGATCTGTTATATCAAGGCAAAGTAATGAGATTTAAAATGTGCAAAATTTAATGATAAATTATTCTTAAACTATCAAAGTCAATGTATGAATATATATAGATAGTAGTATTTCAAAATACATAAAGGTTTCCTTCATCTGAATGATAAATTTCATATTCTTTTTTTTTTTTTCAAAACCCTCATCGTTTCTTCGATTTCATATATAACTGCAATAATCCATTGTGATTCCTTACCTTTGAAGCAAACGGAACACTGCCATAAAAGGTGCTCCTAGCTGTCTGACTGATTTCATCTGCAGATATTAATTGATCACAAATAATGGCCATAAAATTGTACAGGAATGTACGGTGAAACTCCTGGAAGAAGTTAGTGATAACAAAGGAAATGAAGTTGATGTCTCTGATGATCTGCCATGTTTGCTGCCAATATGACTCGTGTCCAGTCCTCTCGTGACATACCTCATCCGGGGACTTTTCCCCCTGTTGCATTTGCTGCAGATCGTATTGTGTGTGACAGTTTTTCCCACAGTAATACATTAAGGACCAACTAAGTATTGCTATCAGTACTGTGGTCACTTGGAATGCTTTGAAATCTTGAAGGCCATTAGAAGCGTGTTCCAGCACCATGACACTAAAGGAACTGAATAGTGAGGCGACCTGTGAAGCTCGAGTTAGGGTGATTCTCATCTCACTGTCCTGTGAAATCTCCGTGAAAAGACAGCATGCTGCCAAACCAATAAATGTAAAGAGTGTATCCCAAAAACACAACGCAAAAATTAAATGAAGACCAACAATGACAGGATTTGTACTCCACTGAAACCATGGTATCAAGAAGGACAACGAGAACAAAGGAGCTGAGTACAAAATCATGTTCCGTCGAGTTTTGAGAATTTTGAAGTTTTTGTTATCCGAATAGTAAGCAAACAAGGGGTCATTCACGGCATTCCATACCAAGAAAAGGACCTGAGAAAACTGAAACCACGATTCCTGTATATGGTAGAAGTTCAGAAAGACTTTTACGTAGTAGAAATTGTAGGCGCTACTCAGCAAACCAAAGCCAGCAGTAAGAGCACAATACGCCAGTATCTGCTTCCGTTGTATATCACCCATATTTTGTCTTAAAGCTGAGTCAGATTTTCTTCACTTATTCCATTACCTGCAAATGAAATAAGGGGTACTTAGTTATTGAGCTATAATTTTGGACAACTAGATTTGACAGATCAATCAATTTCGTCTTATTTGTCGTTACGGTCAAGCCATATCTCTTCATTTCAATCAACAATTTTACCAAATTGTACATTCCCTGTAATTGTAGATTTCAAGTGCAACTGGCAGTCCGAAAATCAAATCCTATATATAGAAGTGTTCAGCTGTAATGCCTTTCCACCGTTAACCAACCAGAAACGTGAAATTCTTATTGCTGAAATATTACCATGTGCATGACTTCCCTCCGTAAATGTCATATTCAGAAAATCGATTTGAGTTTAGTTTATACTTTATACGCATTGTATGTTTTTTTTAGAACTAACTGGCATTAGGATATATATGTATATGATTTCATGTTTCTACAATTCTGTATGTCGACCATAAACTGAGAGTATTTTCTGTGAATTATAATCAATAATTGATAAAAAAAAAATTACAAGATTGGTTAAACGTTGAAATTTTTGCCTTAAGAAATGATAATGAAGGAAACGCCTTAGATTAGTTAACATTTCACATGCTTGTAGTTTCAATAAGGTGTACGTGGGGGTAGGCCTAGAAGGTAAATTCAAAAAATCTTTCGTGATAGAAATGTGCTTGAACAATAATGACTGAAATCTAAAGTAATTTTGTTATTTGTATTTCTTAAATCTAGTGTGGTTTAGGCAGAGGCAAGCGGCATCGTCGAAGATTAATGCAGCTTACGTTTCAAAAAAAAAAAAAAAAAAAAAAAAAAAAAAACTATAATTAGTAATGATCTAGTGTTTTAAGAAAGTGTAAATATATTAATAGAAACAAACCTTTTATTTCACAGATGAATAGAATATATCACAATTCGTGTTTTTTTTTTAAGATATTTGCAACGAGCTTTTAATGACTTTTAAAGTTGTCACATGACTGGATGCAGAACACATATCAGGGACCCATGCAAGAAGGTCCCTGCACAAACAAAAATAAAACTGAGGAAATTCGAAATGACAACAAACTTGTGAACAAAACTAAGAAAATTGTACGCAAATTTCTATTCTCAATACATTACATAGATTAAATACCCATTACTTTTGGACTTGTTGTTGAGTGACAGTCCTCCAAGTAGGAGAAATAATTAAAAAGAATAATATATCAATCGAAGCACACAATTTCCGGGTTTCTGTATTATGATAACTTGATCTCAAAATTACTCGTAAATAACCTTAGTTGTTTCAATTTCGTTTCTTGCATATAAAGGTTTCTGTTTTATATTTACAGTTTAATAACTCTTACATGTTCTTGTGTTTATAGATGCACCGTTCTTCAGTACATATGGCATGGCCTAGGAACTACAAATAAGAGTCAAATTAAATAACGGGGTGTACAAACCACCCACATCAACCCCACCCCTTCTCCCCTTCAAAAATGAATGTCAAATTCAAGATCATTCATGGTTCTTTCTTGGAAAAGAATTACATATATATATATATATATATATATATATATATATATATATATATATATATATATATATATATATATATATATATATATATAGATAGATAGGTATCTAAGTTTCTAAAACGTGTTCCAGTCAAATAAATTGTTTCAATAAAATATGTTTAAATCACTTATCATCAGCCACAGAACTACTTCTAAATTAATTTGAAAGAGTTTATATAAATGTCCACAATTAAGCTTTCTTTATTTTTGTTTTTGAGACCACAAATTTGAACCGATTCACTGAATTAAGCAAATAATTTTTCTACTTAATGAACTTCAAATTCTAAAGTTTAAGGCAAAAAGGTGGGGATATAATTTCTTATATATATATATATATATATATATATATATATATATATATATATATATATATATATATATATATATATATATATATATATATATATATATATATATATATATGCAAAAGGTGCCAAAAAATAATGCCTGTCAACAGCTGTACATTACAATTCAGGTTTGACGATTTTGACGATTTAACAGTTTTTGTTTTTGGGTGTGTTTTTTTTTTTTTTTACCCAATATGACGAGAGAGTGAATATGAGGTTTCTTTTCATTTTTCTCAAAAGAAACATATTGCCAAGATTTTCTTAGAGATAAGAATTTGTTTTAGGGTTGAAGATTGATTAGCGTGTATCTTAAAGAATTTAAAAAACAATAACTGCGGACGAATGTTGTTAGCTTTCACTAGGAGCCGTTCAGGTTTATTAACCTTTTGGTGCTAAATGGTTCGTGTAGATTTTATTGAATATGATCTTCGATAGATCTTTAATCACTCTCTTTTAGTTAAATATCATGAACAGAACTGGATAGATTTTTCCCTTAGTAGAGGATATTTTGTTTAATATGAAGCTGGCCTGGGGTCTGTTCTGCGTTGTTCTTTGCCAATTTTTTGATAAGATACAAGGTAATTATAATTTGTGAAAATTTTCATAAATAAAAATAATAATAATAAGTAAAAAATATCATAAATCAGTCTTTTTTTAAAATTAAAATCAAATTTTCTATGTAAACAGTATTGTGAAGGTATAAGTAATTCTAAATTCATTTCTAGGAAACTTTTTTTCTTAAAGAGAAACGTAACAATCACGGTAATTTTTTTTTCACCACGACCTATCATTGGCTAAGCAAAGTAGATTCAATTTACATATACTTCAGATAATAATAAATTACTTTTGTTCAATGGATTAATATTTATATACAACAGAGTAATATTTATATGTAATAGATTACTATTTCTAAAAAAAGAATACTATTCAAAAAACAATAGAATACTATTCATATACGATAGATTAATAGTTTTATACAACAGATTAATATTTATACAATAGATTAATATTTATATACAACAGATTAATATTTATATACAATAGATTAATATTTATATACAAGAGCGATGTCTTGAGATAAAGGGTATCATTGTTTTAATAAAAATGTCTTTATTTAAGTGGAAATAAGTTGATATCTAAGCATTACTTGTATCTCGTTTATGATTCGACAGGAGGATGTGGTCCCTCTCAATCCGACATCATTTTTGTGACGGATGAGTCCGGTTCCGTCGGATCCTATAACTTTCAGCTGACCCTCGAAGCACTGAGAGACACGGTGGCTCTGCTGGACATAGACTCAGGTAACGTCCGAGTCGGGGTGATGTGTTTCCAATCGTCACAGAGAACCATTTTTCATTTGAATGCCTACAACTCGATTTCCAGCATGCAAACCGCCATCATGAATATTGATTACAAAGCTGGAGGAACGAAAATTGGAAGTGCTATGAAGTTTACAAGAGAGAACATGTTTCTTTCGAGCAAAGGTATGACTCTCTAATAAACTGAGACTGGGAACCTGTCATGTCATTTTTCTGAACATTTTAAGTAAGTGGTAATCAATGTTGTCAGTTCATTTCAAAGTCCTTAGTAAAAGAGCTCTAAGTTTTGTTTGATTGTAAGAAAATGTTGCAAGCTTAAAACGCTTCTTAAGCGACTGATTTAGTTTTTTTTTAACTTGAGATTCACTTATCCTCCATGAAGTATTAGTATCAAAAACAAAGTACAGGTATGTTTTTCTTTTTAACTATATAGCTAAGAGGTCATGACCATTTTTACACTATTTAAAGTGAGTTCTGTATTTTTTTTTTTTTTAAAAAAAGGCGATTGCATTAAATATCATATTTCTAGTTGATCGGTTGGGTAATTTGTTGGCCATTCAGCCTCCATAATCGCATGGAAAATTCTCCGCATTATTGTGCTATATTAACTGCACTACCCTTATTTAATTAATGATATAATTAATGTGTATTTTTCTATGACAGTCTCCGTAATCAGTGTCTGTCGTAGAAATTTGCCGAAATCAGCATGGATTTGTCATATCAATGCAGCTGAAAAACAATATTGATTTAAGGATGTATTCGTCTGAGGTGCCAGTCATTTTTACTGATCTTCTCTTGTTTTATCTACCAAAATAAGCATTTTTTTGCTCATTCCCCCCCCCTCCCGTTTTGTTATCTATGGAAACACACACACACACACCCTCACACACACACACACATGTAAAAGTATAATACTAAATCATATGTTTTCAGAAATTTTAAATTCTTTATTAAAATCCATGAAAAATCAAAGGAAGTTTATGGTTTCCGGCCACATTTTAATGGGTTGTGTAACAAATTATGCTCGCTAATTCATATTTTCTTTTTTTTTTCTCCTTATTTTTTTTTCAAATTATGAAAACATTGAAGTGAAATGGCAAAATTAAAAAGTTAAATTCAATTTATTTGAGCGAAGTAAATTCTTAATAACTTAATTGATTCTTCTTAACAGTGACTATTTGTAGCTATAGTTGAGCTAGCAACAGAGTTATTATCACGGACTGAGCAAAGTGTGAAACAAACTATATTTGAATCTTTGATAAGACTTTTAATTTTTAATAAACTTTAGTCAAATCAAAAAATTGAATATTTCATAGAGCAATTTTTTAATGTGAACACTTTTGCAAATAAATCCTCAAGCAACCGTTTGTTTGTTTGTTTTTAAGTACATGTACTATATATATATATATATATATATATATATATACAATGTTTCTTCATCAACAGGTGACCGTGCAGGTGCAACAAACATAATGGTGGTCCTCACGGACGGTGTCTCCAACGACAACGAACGGGCCGAAGCAGCTCTCGTCAAAGCCGCCGGCATTGTCATCATATCAGTCGGGATCGGAAACAATCTTGACGTTCCTATGTTGATAGACATCGCCCACGACCCGTCACATTATTTACAAACAGAATACTCCCAGTTAGCTGCCACGCTTTCTGCATTTGTCCAGTCTAAGGTTCCTTGCCCATGGTGTAAGTTCTACGTCTGCAAGCTCGTGCGCATTAAGTTGCTATATGTATAAATAATTCTTAGAATTAAAAAAATTGCGGCCTTTCTAATAATTAGCTAGTAATGTTTATAAGTCTATTAATGAAGAAAAATGTTCAGCAACTTTGAAAGAAAGGTAGATAATGTATAAAATTATTTGTACTTACAGGTAGAATAATGACCTTTAATAATTGTAGATTGTGATACTGGTAGCGGTTTTGAAAGAGGCGGTGATCTTTCTAAAACATCATCTCTTAACAGTAACTCAGGTCTGCCCTTTATTTTTGGTGATCATTTATCTTATTGTTTTCAAACTTCGATTTAAAGGTTTTTATTTAATATGATATAGTTGTATATTTTTAAGTAAATGACTTTTTTAACCCTCATACCTTGCATGACGTCAATGTTCACTCAGGCGTGACGTACATCCTGGAGGATACCTCCTCCTCCATATCGTGTTGTGGGGCCGTGGAATCTTGGTCGCTATATCCCAAAAGGTCCGGGTCGATTTACCTCCAGATTTGGCGTCCTCTTTCTGGATCCACCTACAAACTGGTTGGCTACAACTACCTCTACATACACTGTTAGTCACTATTAATATACCGTATTATAAATACCATCTTTATCATTTGGATGATTTTAGTATTTTGTGATATATTGGTCAAGCTGTATTACTGCCATCTTTGAATAATTCGAAAAAACACATATGTTTTAGTCAAAGGCAAAAAGATACCTAAATATTTAACACTTTTACTTAATAAATATTCAAAGCTGCTATAACTTCGCAAACTTCTTTCATTTTTAGCGGGAAACATCAACAGAATCGTCAAGTACATTGTTCCAGATAATGAAAGAATTACAGTTAACGATGGAGATAAAATTGGATGGTAAGGGATTGTTAATTCACAAAGCACTAATTCAATATCGTATAATATGAACCAGTAATCTAAATTTCGAAAAATGTGCTATCTCTACGTAATTATATACTGGTATGTCATTGTTAAGAGGTTTCAAATTCAATGTATAGGTATAGTTCTGGACAGGAAATGATACCGTACACTTCCGCCGGAAGTAATAACCAAAGGCGATTCTCCTGGGGAACTACGACAGTGGGGACAACAAAAAGTGTTTCTTCTTACTCCAACATCAATGCTCAGTTTGCCATCAAACTCAACCTAGAAAACGGTAAGAAAGAGAGCAAGAGAGAAGTAACTCATATTACCATCGAATTCAACTTAGAAAACGGTAAGAGAGAGAGAGAGAGAGAGAGAGAGAGAGAGAAAGAAGTGATTCATATCGCCATCAAGCTCAACTTAGAAAAGAGAAAGAGAGAAAGAATTGATTCATATATCGTCATCAAACTCAACTTACACAGAGAGAGAGAAAGAACTGATTCATATCGCCGTCAAACTCAACTAAGAACAGGGTAAGAGAGAGAAAGGAGTGATTCACATCGCCATCAAACTCAACCTAGAACAAGATGTGTTTGTGAAACACTGATGCCTCCGTATGGCAGTTTATGGCGAATATTAAAGTTTCTGAAATAAAAGTCAAACTCCAAGGTCAAGAGATCAAAATTGTTGCTACCAAAAGAAAGGAATGTCAATGGATATACCTGAGGCCTGTTCAACAGAGCGAACGTTCGCGAGCGCTCGCCAAAATTCCTTATCTTTCCAACAGAAATGTTCGCGAGCGCTCGCGAACGTCCGCTCTGTTGAACAGGCCTCTGGTAAATATGAAAGCTCAAGCACCAACCATTCAGAAGTTATGGTCAAAGTTAATGTTTTCTAAAAGTGGATCAAACTCCAAGTCAAGGTCAAAAGGTCAAAATTAATGGTACGCAGGGGGAGACCTTTTCATAAGAAATACATATGCAAAATATTAAAGCCCTATATCACCAACTGTTCAAAAGTTATGACCAAGGTTTATATAAGTTTTTCAAAAGTAAGTCAAACTCTAAGGTCAGAAGGACAAAATTGTTGGTATCCAAAGGAATGTTTTGTCACATGGAGTATACCTGTGAAATTTGAAACCCTTCATACTAAATCTTCAAAAGTTACGGCCCAGATTACAGTTTTTTCAAAAGTGGGTCAAATTCAGAAGTTAAGGTCAAAAATATTTACACCCATGGAAAGGTCTTGTCACGATGAATACACATGAGAAATAAGAAAGCCCTAGCACCAACTCCTCTATGGTCAAGATTTAAGTTGGGTAAATTTTTGCGAAAGTGTGTTAAACACCAAGGTCAAGAGTTAAAATATGTTGGTACCCAAAGGAAGGTCTTGTCACAAGGAATACACATTAGAAATATGAAGCCATAGCTCCAACCAATCAAAAGTTATGGGCAAGGTTAAAGTTTTTGTGGACAAACAGACAGACGGACGGACATTGCAAAAATAATATACTCCGAATCTTCAATTACGGGACATAAAAAGAGAAAGAACTGATTCATATGCTATCAAACTCAACTAAGAAAATGGTAAGAGAGAGAAAGAAGTGATTTATATCGCCGTCAAGCTCAACTTAGAAAATGAGATAGAGAAAAAAGAACTGCTTCATATCTCCATCAAATTCAACTTTCGAAAAGGTAAGAGAGAGAGATAGATTTGATTCTAAGGAAAAGATCAGAGAAATAAAGATAGAATTGATTCATATCGCTATCAAATTCAACTTAGAAAAAGGTAAGATCGATCGAGAAAGAAAGTTATCACCATCAAACTCGACTCTGAAACCGGTGAAAGAGAGAAAGAAAGATAGAACTGATTCAAATCGCCATCAAACTCAGCTATGAAAAAGGAACGAGAGAAAAGGAGAGATGGAACTATGTGAGAAATGACATACATCCATACTTACCAGTTTAATTTAAAAGATCTTACATTAATCTAGTATATTGCAATTTTTAAGCAGACTCACACAAAATATATTCAAGGTGTCCCGTCATAAATCCATTTAGATAAGCTTGAGTTGTGTCGATAGTAGACGCTCATGCTTCGAGAAAACAAATCTTAAAAAAAAACAAGAATTATTTTAAATATCCGGAGTTGTTTTTATTGATGAGACAAGTTAATGCTAGAGAGAAGTAACGAAAGTTAATTGATTTCTGCGTTTTACATTGAATGTACCAATACACTGAAAACATTAGGCATAATGAATTACATTTATGAAGTCTATTATTTTCTCATCAAGAAAATCAGTCAACAAAAATAATAAAACGAAAATTAAGAAAATAGAAAGTGATGTGACAAACTCTCTAGTGTCTTTTATTTAAAGTTCACTGGGATATATTGAGTTGCCATAGAACTGGAAGTAACTGTTGTTAATTGATAACGCGTCGTCGATATATTTGAATGTCGAAGTGCACAATCACATGAACTTTTTCAGATACGAGTGATCTGTGGTTTGTAAACTCAGGCAGAACAATACATCTCTATGACAATGCATCACCTGGAACCCAGGTATACACAGTTGTAAATGGACAGCGTTCACAGGATATACTTACAAGGTACATGAGTGACCCGAGCGGAAGATTCACCTGGAACTCCAACACAGGTACGTTTCGGTAATATCGAGGATTTTCAATTGATATCCAATTAATTTTTTATTTACTGAGTTACCATAACTATACTGGATTTCAAAGCTTCACGAAAATCTTTTTAGTTTTTAACAAAGATACATTGCAAGATCCAGCTGCAAATGGTCCTTACAGCCCTGTCTTTATTAACTAATGTGAAGGAGAAACTTCACACGTACTGTGATACAACATATTCAAGAAGTGGTGTAATTCAAATGCAAATTCTAAAAAAAAAAACCTCAAAATAACTTTAGAAAATTCAAAATCACAAAAAATTCCAAAATTAATTCGCATCAAACCGTATGAATTTTGCTATGCTTTACACAACCATTCCTCAAAATAAATTAAAAACCAGAATTTTCGACATCATAGACAGCTTCTTCATCAATAAAATGGAACTCTGAAATTCGCATATCTTGTGATTGGTCATGTACAAAGCTAGCTGCAGAACTGTAGCTCTCTGGTTGAGAAAATTCAGACAGATAAACCAGATTTTAGTTGCACTAGTACAAAGATACTTTGATAAGTATCATTCTGATTCTAAATACAAAAGCAAACGATCTTTTTATCTTACAGGTATTGTGAGTACAACTTCCTCGCTCGTCAATGGACAGACATATGTAATGACGTTTACAGCAAAGAAGACATGTCTAAATACCACCATATCGGGGGGTTCATTGTCAGTCAAAGTTTCTAACACTGTAAGCAGATAAATAATATCTATTCACACATGTAAAAGAAAGTGGGAAGTTTGGCATTAAATTAAATAATATATAATGTAAGAAAAATTGAATGCTATTAACGGTTGTGCTTTATAGCCGCCACGGATCACGTCTCTTCCCGCCGTCATGACGTTATCGGAGAACCAAGAAAGCAGCAAAACCCTCCACGTGTTGACTGTAGCAGACGGCACCGACAGCACAGTCACGTGCTCCATCGTCTCTGTCGATCCATCGTCTGCAACATCATTGTTCTCACTCAACAGAGCTTCCCCAATGAGTACAAATTGATTTTAGATTGAAATGTGTTATGTCTAATTCAACTAGTAAGAAAAAACAGAATATGAAAATCTATCTTTACGACTGTTACAGGTTACAACTTGGTTCTGAACAGTAACCCTGGCTTTGACTATGACACCATTAAGAAATACACAATAACACTCTCCTGTACAGACGGAAAAAACAGTCCAGTGTATGGGTATTTCAAACTATTCTTGCAACGTAACGTCCGGCCAGCTTTAAGTAATATTCCAGGTTAGAGTTATTTTTTCTTGATTTTGTTACATATTGTACATATATCCGATATTGAATTTGGTTTCTATTCAAAAATCTTGAATTTTGCCCAGCTAATGGATACTCATACAGTGCCAGCTCCAGAAGTAACATGACCGACTTCATTACACTGACCGCTACTGACCCCGATAACTCAGACTTCACGTACGCCTTTGAATACTGTGGACCTTATTCATGTCCGGTCTGGATGCTTGATGACAGCAGTAAGCTTCGATATATACTATCTTCAAATGTAAAAGGCTGTAGCACTTTACCCTTCCAATGGACTTTTTTTGATAATAAGAGTTCAGATTTTGTTTTACAGAGACTTCTTAAAATGGCTTATTAAGATAAATGATTTGTCTGTAGGTGGTTTAGTCGAATACAATCAAAGCATGGGAGGATGGTGGAAAGGTGGTTTTAATGTCGGATTCTCTGTGACGGACGGCAAAACAAAATCCAAAACCAAATATATTCCAGTTCATCTTACTGGTAACTTATTTATTTACTTCTCATTTTCTTTATCCATTCATTCTCAAATCTTCTGATGACGTCGCGTATTTGGTAAAGAAATTCAAGGGGTAAAAGAATAATATTTCATATTTGTTTTTTGTCTTTTACAAAGGTTACCGTTATAGTCCGTCGTTCATAAGCCTTCCGACCCAAAACAATATAATCATCAACGAGAAGATTCCCACAAACCAGTACCTGTTCACTGTCACCTATTACGACCTTGATGTCAATGCATTGTCTGTAACTTTTACAATTAGCAATGGCGACTGGACTTACTTTACCATCAAAGACAATAGTATGTTGAACATTAACACTTTTTTTAAAAATAAAAACATATTAATATGCATTTTACCAGTACGTGTGTTTTCGTTAAACTGTATTTCATAATTTTCATATTATGAAGCCGTGGTCAGCAATGATTTTCAAGGGACAACAATATCACATGTTACCCTAAATAAACTTTTTTTGTTGTACTGAATGTTTTAAAAATGGATTTAAGAGAAAAAGCAACAGTGAAGACATTCTGCCAGTTAGCAATTTCTATATTGTCATCCGTCGTCGTACATTGTCAACCGTTGCTATGCAATGTTACCCGGAGGGCGTGGTTTACGCACGCGGTAGGGTAACACTACTTTTTGAAAAATATTTTAAACCAATCAAATTTGACTATTTAACATAAAAGTATAACAGTGTTAGTTAATGTTAACAGCTGATGTATACACCAGCAATACTCAAATAGACTTTGAAAGCTTATCGAGAACAAACTACTATATACAAGCCAGAGTGAATGATGGAACTTCGACTGTAAGCAGGGGTTTCTGGGTATATATCAGAGACATCAATGAAGCTCCAACCTTCCAGACCACTGTCTACACTGTCACCGCTGACGAAGGACCGGTAAGTTAGAGTCACGTTCAGCTTCAACAACAATTTCATTTACCACATGCTGCATATCTGTTCTCTGCGTATTTCAGGCGGGTACACAATTAACACCATATCCTCCAGCGTACGTCTTCACAGACATAGACGCCACCGATAGCCACTTTTTCACCCTCGACTGTGGGGCTAATACCCGGTATCTGAGCTTTGACACCACTAACGGAGCTGTTTCCTTTGGTCGTGCTGTAGACGTTGATAATGGAGCTCCTAGAATGATGTCGTGCAAAGTCAAAGTATATGACAAAGGATATTTGAGTGATACAGCAGATTTGTACGTTACCATTTATGACACTAACGATAATGCGCCTCGTTTTGATAAGCAATATTACACGTATTCTATTTCTCCTGGGATTACTCCAGGTACAGTGGTCGGATTAATCACTCTGACGGATGCAGATCTCACTGCCCCCCACAATTCAATAGGGCGTGTCTGGTTTGAAAACCAGCCTACAGATTCAAATGGACAAAATTATTTCTCCTACGACAATATCACCAAAGAATTCACTGTCGCACAGAATTTGAGCCAGTATTTCTTTGGAAGTTATCTCGAGTTCCAGCTAAAAGCTCTTGATCTTGGATCGCCTCCATTAGAGGCAACAGCTAATATAGTAATATTGTTTGAACCGGTACGTTTTTCAAGCTCGTTAATTTTGATCTGTCTCTATTTTACACCCTTTCCATGTTCAGTCTTAAAAATTATAAATTGCATTTTGCAGACTACAACGACTATCGCTGTGACAACAACAGAAACACCGGGAAGTTTCGGAGGTGATGCAAAGAACACACTGTGGATGACCGCCGTGGGAATGGGGGGTGTGGCTATGCTTGCAACCGGAGGATATGTTGCCTTTAAAGCATTCAGCAGGTATTAAATGGAAAACGCGAAAAATATGTACGAGACGCAATGCAATAAATTCTTGCATTGTCTTTATTAAGCCAAAAACTGAAGAACAGTTCATGCAGTTTTATACATGTATATGCTTGCAGTGCGTCTGGCTTTTCTCCGACTGGAAGTGGTCCCATCAATGTATCATCTGCACCACAGACATCTGACCCAGCGGTACCGGATGATCAGAGTCGGCAAAAGAAACCCAAGAAGGCCAAAAGTATTTTAACATATTTACTAAAGAAATTATTCCAGTCCAAATTAAAGCAAAACTAAACATATTCATTAATTTATTCTGGCAACATAACTTTCTCTTAGTTGAATCGCTGGTATAACGTCATTGTTTTTAAACAATCTCATCCATTATTTTTATTCCAGGTAAAGGTCGCGACAAAGTCTTCAAAGACAGCAACATGGTGTGAAATTTTAAAAAACCATTTTCTCTTTGATTTATATTTCATCGTTTTTCATATTACATTAAATTATATAATTGATTTGCCTCTTCATTGTCAGATTTGTTTATATAAACATTTCACTTTCCATATTTCTAAGTTTGTACTAACCTCAGTTTTCGAAGTAAGAAAATGGTCTGAAATATTAATGTCTATTTATTTATTCTTTCTGTTTTATCAATACAATGTACTCATATTATATAAAATTATATTATTTATTTTTTCTGTATTGTAGTATTTGTTTACTAGTGCATAGAATTTCTAAAATTGACATTGATCACAGTTTTCAAATAAAATGATGTTCTTATTTTGCTTTTTTCTTCATTTTTTTATGCATATTTGCCATTGCGAGCAATCGGAAGTCAAAGTTTTCATTTAAATTGTCGTGTAAAATTATCGCCGCCATGCGTCTTGCATTGTAATTTATCATGTGTGATTTCCAATCTTCTACACGATTCTCTATGCTTTTGTTTTATTCAAGGTTTCTATAATATTCAGGATGTTTACTCTCCATATTTGTTTCTTTAGCGATTGGATCATCTGTTGCACTAACATCTCTGTCTTCTTTTGTATACCTAGCCTTCTCTGAAATCACTTTGACTTTTTTCTTTAACATTTAGCTTAAAAAAGTAAAATAAACTAACACTTACATCAGTAAAGAGTATATTTATGGACGCCGTGCCAGTGTTTCCGGTAAAATCTATTGCCTTTGCAGTAAAACTATACACGCTTTGGTATCCTACATTAGACAAATTTCTGTTGACATACAGCGCTCCGCTGTCACTGATAGTAAAATAATCTACAACTTGATCTGTTAACGTAAGATTGAAGCTTCCATAAATATTCACATCAATATCATTTACCGAAAGATTTGCCACGCAGGCGCCAACCGGAGTTTCTCTTGACACCACGAATGTGTAAACTTCTTGAGAAAATCTAGGGGTATAGTTATTAATGTCTGTTAGAATAACAACTAAAGTAGCATTGGCAGATAAACCAGCAGCATCCCAAACAATAGCAGTGCACGTGAGGGCGGGCGGTCTCTCGTTGTCCACGAGGTATGTAGCGGCAAGAGTAACGTCCCCTGTTGTTTCATTCATTGTGAAATACTTGCTAAAGGAGCCGCATTCCATTCCGTATGTATGAGTGTCGCCCATATCTGGATCAGCCACGGAAAATCCCGGTGAAGAAAAGATTAAACCATGCTACAGTAAGAAGTAATTTATTCTATTATAATATTAATAACATTTAAGTAGAAAGCGGTTTAATCAGTGTTTATTACAATTATCTCTTCTACTTCATCAATAAAATTTGACAACAAACAGGGTAAACCTGTCCTTGCTCAATTTTAAACCATTTTCAATTTTCATTGATTGCAAGTCAGACAGACTATATAAATTTCTATTTTTATGTTAAGGTATACACAAGTTAGCATGTTTATCTCTGGGCTGCACATACGCTTCTGTAGACAAGGTGTATCGAACAACAGTCGCTTTAGATCGTGCGCATTTCATACGAATATTTTTTCATATGGATTATTTCGGCAACAGTTTACGATCCAATCAAAATTTTTCGGTCGCACGAATATTTTGTCGCTTCTGCTCGTGCGCCAATTGTGAAAGAGCCTTAAGGTAAACCAAACGATCGAAAACAACAGTCTTTAAAAGAAGCATGTTTACTTACCTGTCCTTCGTCACGGGATATGCTGTACACAGCCTTTTCAAATGCCGGAGGTTCATTGAGAGTAGTAAAACGTATAGTGAAGGACTCATGTCAATGTTTTTCCATCGGACAACGAGCAGGTAATTATGTTTCTTTGACTGCTTAAAGTCTCGAAATCAACTTTTTTGTTGGTTGTTCTAAGATCTCAAGCTTAAAAGGAAAATTTTTGTATTCTGACAATACTGTTGTCAACGGCAGTTTGTTATATGTAGGAATGTTAAGTTACTAAGTACATCAACATAGATATAATCGGCAGAAGGTATGTAACTGACAGCCAAGGCCACAGCATCCATAGGATCAGGGTCATACCATTGGATGGTAAATATAAACTGGTTTGTTCCAATATCCTCATTTAGTCTAATCGCTGAAGATGTTGGCAAGTTGATAAACGCTGGTGGTTCATTGAGATCTTATACAAGTAACATGTTAATAAGTAATTCAGATATCAAATTGGTTGAAATTCATGAAACTTTTGTTGAATTTTCGTAAGTAAATAAACTAGTAGTACTTACTGAAAATTCTTATACTGAGTGAGCTGGGACCAACCGTGGTCTCTCCGTCGGATACGTACATCTTAATGTTGTATCCGCCAGTCTTGGTAGAGATTGCCGATAAAGCAGTCGTGGTTGTCACTCCTCCATCTGTTACAATAGAGAAGAATAACGGAAATGTTGACTTTATAGGTCTACAGTATGATTATATTTCTTTAACTATTCATTCTGAGTCTTACTGTATCTGTTAATCTGGATAGGACAATTTCCGTCACATGACATCGTATAAATCAATGACGAACTGTCTGTGTCTGCAGCAGACACCGTAAAGACCAGAGAACCAGACGCATGTGTAGTCACATCGAGGCTGACGTTACCTGGGTAAAACAGAAGTTTAAGCTTACTACTTTAAAAAAAAGAATAATTCGTGCTCATCCACTGGATACATGTTTTGACTAACTAGGAAGGTTTGTAAAACTAGGAGATTTATTCCGTCTGATGAACAAAGTAAACACGCTTTCTATTACATGAACTCCATCTGTGCACTGTACTGTGACGTCATACTTTGTTGTGCATGGCGGTAGAATATACTTAAGCACTGTTATAAACAAGATATATTCCATAATCTGCAAATGTAATAGACATGATAAATTTTGCATCTTTCAAACAGAAAAAAGTCATTTTGCAATAATGACATGAAGTGAACTTTCATATAAAAAGTTCAGATGAAATGCGAACAGTAATCATGCTCAAAAGTCCAATCAAAGAAATACGCAAACACGGATCTCTGAAAACAGAGGTGGGATCAGGTGCCATGGAGGAGTAAGCATTCTCTGTCAACAGGTCACACCCGCTGCATGCCCCTTATCATACAATTTAAGGATCAGGAAAAACAATTTCCAACTGAAGTTATTTTATCTGTCTGACTTCCATCTTTCAGTCTTGTTTCAAACACATAAATAGTTTCATTGTTCAACTCTGTGGGTTCTGGTCTTGTGACGTTGGTTTCACAGGTTACTGTGTCGTATGTACCGGGATCAGATGCAATGATGCTATGAAGCAAAAAGTCTGTACTATAAGAGGTCCCCTCATCAATCTCACGGAAAGATGGTAAACTGGTAAATGTAGGGGGCTGTTAATAAACGTAAATATGTTTGATTAACATGATTTTAAAACGGAAAGATATGAAAGGCAAAACAATCTCTGGTAAATCTATAACACCAATATTGTCCAGGTGATTTGATATATATATATATATATATATATATATATATATATATATATATATATATATATATATATATATATATATAAAGAGACTCCTTACTTAAGCATAACTTTAAAACAACACATTAGAACCACGTGTTTATGGTGACGCACCTGGTTAGAGGAAGTAACTGTTAAAGACGCTGAATTGCTGTTTCCACAAATATCAGTCACAGTAAATGATACAGTTTGGGAGGAGCTTAGCCTCGATTTCACACTAACCACGCCTATAAATTGATGTGTCAAATGTACCACAACCTTTTTAATCAATCGGAGTGAGTATTGATTCAAAATACTACACTAGACAAAATTGCTAACACACCTCTTGTTAATCTTGTTTGTTTATTGAACATTTGTTTAATCGGCACTAGTACATCTAATATGCTTTCTTTTTCCAATACAGTGGAATTGACAAATGTCTTGGTGTTATGACAAGATCCTTAAATGACCTTCTTGCTGATAACCAATTTCCCAACGTGCACTGTGCACCGTTTTTGCCTATAAATGAATTTGCTAATTACCGTTGGTGGTCAGTGATGTTGCACAGAAGCATTCTCCCCAGTAAAAAAAAATGAATAATATATAGTAATTGACTATCATATTGCCTAGTGGTCACCCAGTGCCTTAGCGTCTGTACCTAGTCCATCCAACTTCTGCTTGTTCCAAGTATGTGGAGATAACGAACAGTATTCGAGCTCAGAAGTCCATTAAACATTACAAAATAGGAGCAGAGCAAACACGGACCTGGAAGACATGAGAGGTGGGATCAGGTGCCATTGAGGAATGAGCATCCCCTGCCGATCGGTCACACCCGCCGAGTGATCCTTGCATTGATCGGGAAATAACGGAAAAATCCGTCGACAAGTCAGTTTGTAAATAATGGCCTATCAATTAGTATGAAAAAGGTCAGTCAGCATTTGGCTTAATGATAGTTTGTATTTGCTGACAAGGTCATTGTATCGACCATAGAACTTACGAAATTATGACTTTAAACGAGACTGGTGATATTCTTGTTTCATCAACTTGTTTGTCAATAACTTACCTCGTTTTAAAAAATCGTTCATACGTAGAGCAAGTTCTGGCGTATCGAATCAACTGAAAGATATAAACCCCGTACGCAGGTGATAAAGGTATATTGCTGCATAAGTAAGGGAAGTTGACGATTGAAAAGTTAAAGTCATCACGTTTATCATAAAGCTTTGTTGTTAGATTACCATTAACGTCTTTTTCTAATAAAATATCCAAATATGAAACAGATGTGTCTGTGGTATCTTTTATCTCAAGCTCACCGGGATATATCGTGTGGAGCAATTAATCTTGAAATTGTCGTTTGGTGATTACTTAATGCCTTGGCTATCAACAGAAAACATTTTTATGTTTGTCAATCTATTTCCAATACTTTCTCACTAAAGAAAGAATACCCCTTTGTTTAAATGTTTTACAAATTTCTACAAAGGAACGCCCAGCTGACACCATACTACTGCTTTTGCATGCTATTCTAGGGT